CAGGAATTAGCAGAGGCTCCTTGGGGACAGGATCATGTTTGTACCAGATGTGTCTCTGCTCCAGAGGAATGTGATTAAGGCGGCTTGAGGAGGCTTTCACTGGGTAACATCAAGCACTGCAGCACCTGCTCCCCCTGAGAGCACGAGCAGAGCTTCTGTCCTCGCAAGCAGGAAGCTTCCTGCTCCTGGGGACCCAGTCTGGGAGGGGCAAGAGACCTGCCAGGAGCCATCCTTGCAGGGGGGATGCTCAGAGTGGAGGCGTTTGTGGGCCCTGGGCACCCTGCTTGTTCCTGTCTCTTCTCTGCCATCGGTATCAGTGAGCCCTTCTGACCACAATGCACGGAGTGCTGCCATCACACGCAACAGCATTCTGCCAAGGGAAGTTGTACCCCCACTTGCTTTGATAACAGGAAGAAAGCTCATCCTGGCACAGGAATACCATCCAGCACTGTCTTTTTATCCATAGGTCATTCATAGGATGCCTTCTTCAATTTTTATTCTGAGCACGAGATCAGAAAGCTGGAGCAGAAGGGCCCAGAGGACAGACACTGGGAACGTCCATCATTCTGTTACCATAAGTCATCCCTTGGCCTCCTAAACATCTTCCCTAGCCATACCACTGAAAAGCTTTCTGGGGCCAGCATGACCTTTCTACCATCTGTGCTAGCCCATGTTGGACAAAACTAAATCCACAGATATTTGCATTTTGCACTTTCTACAGATAGGGCCCTTGTTCCCCTAGCCCAGTCCTTCCCCCTCATTCCTGCCATAGCCTGGGATGTGCTTCCAGTTCCCAGCAGTGATTTGCGGAGGTTCCTTGCCACAGCTTCCTTGGTGCAGGTTTGCTTGGGGCTCCTGGCGCAGGTTTGCTTGGGGCCAAAACACACTCGCGTGTCTCTTACAATTTGGTCACGATAAAAGCAATCCTGGCAGCAAGCTCCTTGGGAAAGAGAGCTGAGCTGCACAAGGCTTTAATTGTAGGAGGAACATGGAGGGATGAGGCCAGTCAAGCACATCCACCTAATTTCCTCTCTATTAGGACTGCCCTGCTTTTGTTTGACCCAGACTGAGCTTTGCTATTAATGATGTGGTATTGGGGCGGTCACAGATGGCTGTGTTACAAACTGCCTTACAGATTCCGCTTAACTGAGTGTATAAGCAGGCCTTTGCTTACAGATACCATTACCGTGGCATTCATGCTTTAGAAAGTGTGTCAGCCAGCTGTGGAGCAGACCAGGCTGCTTTAGCAGACACGAAGAGCTCTCTGTCTTTGTCTCTGACTGCACGATAAATCCAGGCAAGCAAGCACGGAGGTTAAACGGTGTCATATCGCTACCCCTGCCAATGGCCAGGATTTGCTGACTAGCTGACCAGGTGCTGATAGCCTGAGCGTTGAACATTTCCTCTTCCTGATCTCTCCTCTGCAGTTTCAGCTTGCAAAGGCATGTCCCTGCCAAAGGAGAGCATACATCTCCTCCCTGTGCACCCCACACTTTCTCTTCAGCATCTGCAGCCAAAATGATGCGAATCCCTGCTCTGTGCCAGCGGAAAAGCCTCTTTCAAGGTCCCACAAGGCCTGTCCGCACAACTGGCTTGGAGAGCATAAGCAAGGCCAGGCAGCGTGTCTGGCTGTGCTAACCCCGTCCCCTGCTCTGCACTGCCCTGGCACCCCGCTCCAGCCTCCCTCTTTCAAAGGCAGCTGCCTCTCATCTGCGAGTGCACCCAGGTTCAAGGTCCAATTCAAGGCCAAAGAGCGAGTGTGACAGGTTCAGGGCAGCAGGAAATGGCCCCCTGCCTCTGGCGATCTGCCCTCCCCAAAGAAGAAAGCCTGTCACAGTCCCAAATGGCACACCAGCAGCTCTGGCTTCCCCCCGGCGCCCCCCAGGCTCTCCCGTCCCTCCTGTGACCTTGCTGTGTCCTGTGTGCTGGGGGAAGCATGAGCACCCCGTCCCCTGGGGATGCCGGCTGATGATGAAAGCAATATCCAGCTGGGCTCCTGGAGCAGAGGCTGCCGAGTGCTGCTCTCTGCAGGAGGCACAAAAGGGGAAATATTCTCCCCTCTTGTTCAGCAACAAGATCAAATCTACCAGCTCACAGGCAAGGAGATAGTGGAGCAATGTGATCTGAGCAGTGGGGGGTTTGTGCATCCCTGGTGCCCCGCTTCTCTGTGCTCCCCCTCCACGTGTGATGCCCTTTCTGCTTTGTTGTGCTCAGGGGGAGGCAGGACACCCTGCCGGGTGCCAGCCTAACTCCCTGCTGCTCCCTGCAGGGGAAAAGCTTCTGCAGCCACAATTGGGAGCTCACACTGAGCCTGCCTTGGTGAAATGCCTTCCCCAGCCACCCTTATGCTCAACGCATTTCTGTAGGAAACTTGTGCAAGCCACCTCAGCCAGCCCCTAGGCCATGTGCACTGCGGTTCCTTCACCACGTCCCCTCTCCTGCTGTGACCTGGGGGTGCTGGGGCAGTGGGGTCCAAGGAGCTGACAGCCTTGTAGGTTTCCTTGGGTCTCACCTGGACTGTGCGATTCAGCTGCTCAGAGTGAGGCAGCAGCTCATGGGCAGCTGCACCCTCAGCAAACCTGCATTTGGGCAGGAGGATCTTGCACAGGCCACGGAAGCGACCTGGCGTAATCCTTGGAAAAGACCTTCACGCATAAGGCTCCTGACTCTGTCCCCAGGGCAATATCTAACAGCACAAGACTAAAGAACCTCTCTATTTCCGGGCCAGATAGCCTTTCTGTACAAATCCAGGGCCATGCACATGCCTGCTCATTTGCAATGAAGAGCCGTATGAACCAAGCTTGTGTCCAGTGCCCAAGGTTCAGGCATTGCTGCAAGGCAAGTGTCTCTTCATTAACCCCCTGTACAAGTGAAGAGGAGCCGGATGAAGCTGCATCTCTCCCGTTGGCTCTGCAGCAGTGTCTACAGGGCCAGCAACAGGCTTTGGGAAAGGCTGGCTCAGGTGCCCGCAAAGGACACGTCTGAACCTGCCGTTCCCATGGGGAGGAAGGTTTGTGTCCGTGCGCATGCAGGGCAGGTTCCTCCCCTTGTAGGCAGCAGGGCCCAGCTCAGCCCTCTCTCTTCTCCCCAATGCCTTTCCTGGGGCTGGTGAGTTCCCACTTTTTGAGGTATGCAGAGGGGAGGTGGATGGAAGGAAAAGGAGGGCAGCATGTGTGGGGTGGCACAGTGGCAAGGACGTATGAGGGCCAAGAACCATGGTTTTGACAGGTCATAGCCTTGGCCAGTGCTCTCAGGCAGTATGCATGAGACAAAAGGGCCCATAGACTTTAGATGATGTGTCCAGATGTTGCAGGTATTTCTGAGCTTGGCATGGACTATAGAACCATGTGGGCTTCTGAGCTCTTGCTCAGTATCCCAGCAGTCCTGGGATGTCATCCGTGCTTTCAGAACAGAATTCTGGAGACCTGGGGACAATATGTCACATTACCAAGTGAAGCTCAGTGCAGGACTGAAGTTCAGCCTGGGTCTGCTCTTCCACTGTCTGAAATGCGCCATGCTGCCAGCATCAGGTAATTCTTACCTGCCACTCCAGGTGCAGGGCTGCAAACCCAGTCCTGGTGTGGAAGAGGGAGAAGAGCTTTTTAAACCACATTTATGAAATCTGAGAAACTAGAAAGCATACGCCATAGCCTAGCCAAGGAGATACAGATAGACAGGGAAAAGGGGAAGCGTTGTCAGTGAGATCAGTTCTCAGTTTTGTTGAGCAAGTTGTCTTAGCCAGCATTTTTCTTAACATCCCAGCAGTAGAGCCATGTGAATGGTGCAAACGTTATCTCATTAGAAACTAAAACACGGAGATGTGCCAGCCCCTCCTGGCTGCAGAGAATAAAAATAGCTCTAGAAGATGGTTTGAGCCTACTTGAAGTCGGGAGACAGAGACAGAAACCCAAATAGTTTGCCTAAGCATATGATGGTTTAAAATAATTCGGCTGATAGTTTTGGGAATGGACTTCCTATTTTTAGCTCTTCAGACAGGCACTGTGACTGCTTGCTTTTGCCAAGATAATTCTCTCTTGCACGATAGCCATGGGCAAAGCTGCTCATGGATCACGGAGGAGCTGCTGCTGCTTGACACTCATCTCCCCACCTTGCACAGCCATTTGGTGGTGCGACGTGTCCCCGGGTGAAGGCAGCACGCGTCAGGCTCCCTCTGCTCCTGTGGCGGTGGGAGACTCTCCAGCTGACCTGCACCCAGGTGTGACACAATTTCTCATGTATCCACCAGGCTGGTTGCGCAGGACCACAGGGGCAAGCTCTGACCCCCTCTGTCACTGCATGTGCCCATGGAGCCCCTCTACGCTGTCCTGGAAGCAGAGATCGGTGCCTTCATGGAGCACGTGCAGCAATGTCGGCGGGACTTCGACCTGGCGGCCCTGTACAGAGTGCTGCTGCTCATGCTGCCGTGGAGCCCCTCAGGGGAGCTGGAGAGCTGGCAGCACCTGCAGAAGCTCTCGGCGCTCCACGCTGCCCGGGACCCTGCCGTGGGGGGCTACGTGTGCTGGCTGGCCTCCTACCTGCAGCACCCGCGCGCCTCCAAGGAGAGGTTTGACACCACAGTGGTGTTCCCGATCTGTGAGCACCTCTATGTCCACGAAGAGTCGGGTGTCCCTGGTGCGCCGCCGTCCCCACCGAGGTCCCTGGCCTCCATCCCCTGCCTGGCTGCGCGGCTCTTTGCGGCAAGGCACTGCTGGGCCCTGCTGCTGCGGGGGGACACCGTGCGCGAAGGTGTCTTCAGCCTCCAGAGCCTGCACGACCTGCAAGGTTTCACCAGCGTGGGGCCTGTCCTCAAGGTCTTGAGACTTGTCCCTGACATCTTCCAGCAGAGCCTGGCCACAGCAGAGTTCGCCAGGCAGTGGATTTGCCTGCCCAGGAGCAGATACCACATCCTCCTGCAGCTGTCACAGCCACCGCCGCCACCACGGCCACTGCCACGCAGGCTGAGAGGGCCGGGCACAGCTGGGCTGACTCCTGGTGCCTCATGGCCACTGCTGCAGCAGGGCAGGTCCCTTGGGCAGCCCATCTCTCCCCCAGGTTTGCCTCACGTCTCTGGGCAGCCGTGCCCCGCTGGCGCGCTGCGGGATGGGCTGTGTGAGAGCCGGGAGGAGCTGCTAC